TTACGCTGTCTGAAGTTATGATGTTCTTTTAATGAAGATATATTTGGTGCAGATCTTTGCTGTGATTAAAAAGAATAAATTAAATATCAAAGTTAAAGTCTCTTCTTAACATTTTAGTCCAAAGGATGCCAATCCTAATTTATTTTTTAAAAAATCTGACTTTTGGAGGTCCTAATTGAGATTTATTTCTTTTATCGTTCACTTTGGTTTTTTCTCTAGATTTTTCTGGTCCTACAGGATTCTACCACTGTTTATTTTTGCGTGCAATCTAGTGCTTTATTATCTAGCCTGATGAAAGGGATAATTGGTAACACTGTACTCGCTTTGTCTGCAGTTACACCTTCTGCATATAAACTGTACAGACATGCTACTGAGCTAGTCAGCAAGAAAACATGTAGGCTTTTTTAGAAACTGAAAGTATGGAACTAAGTCTTTTGCAGTTGACATCATCTCGGGATGAGATGTCTGTCTTGTTGCGTGCCTAATGCAATCCAGAGTTTGGATTATGTTCAAGTGAGGCACCCACAAAGTACTGAGAAAATTTCCAGTCGATACTGCTGTAGGAGTACTCCAAAGGAAGGCAATGAATATTTCACATAATATATGGAAATGTCTAAGTAGGATATGTGGAAATTATCCACATGTATTCTTGCTTGTGGTTGAATAACTTTTTTTAATTTTAATTGTTAGTCATAAAGAAAAAAGTCTGATCTTCCCTTATGTCTTAAAACAGCCCCATCCATAAATTGAAGCTTCCTTAGCAGGATTAATCTTCCATGTTTTCAAATACGATAACTATTATAGTTTGATTTGTTTCAATGTGTGTAATTGTTTAAAGTCCTTTTTTGATAAAGAGCTGCATATACACCTCCCTGACATCAGGATTTCTAGCTTTTTTTGTTTGTGTTTGCAGATCAGTACTTGATATTTGGTGCAGAAGAAGGTATTTACACTCTGAACCTCAATGAACTTCATGAAACATCAATGGAGCAGGTATATTTCTGGTTTGATATTGTTGAAAAAAAAATGCATCCCTTTTTCTAAACTACTCAAATTAACGTTGTGTAATCCTTGTAAAAATAGTTTTTACTACCTTTATCTAGGCACTAGTTACACTGAGAACTATCTTAAATGCTTGCTATTGAGGATACTTTTCAGTCATGTTTAAGTGTTTTGTAGGCTGAACCATGTTCAAGTAGGAGATCTTCACCTGTCAGTGTTTTGAACTTCACCATAGTGCATTGGTCTGCAGTTAAATGATTAGGTAAATAGTAAGAAATATCCCTGATATATTTTGGTTAGAAGTTTCTATTTTCCTTAAAGCTTTGGTACAATATAGAGTTTTTGCAACAAACATTGTGCTTCAGCTGCAGGGAAGCAAAGAGATCCTTTATACACTAGATTCCATTTTTTTGGTCTTAAAAGCAGCTTTTCTGGTGAGACTCAGCTTACTGAATTCCACCTAAAGCTCTGTCTCTGCAGAGTCTTATAAAAAGTAATTTTTTTGAGGGGATACTGGGGAGGGGGACAATGCCAGTTGCAGGCTTTTCTGTATGGTTTCTCCAGCTCTTTTGTTACTCTCTAAGAGACTTGTTTTCTTTCCTGCCTTCTCCCTAACTTAGGGAGCTATGCATCTGCTATCAAGATGGAGGATTTTGCAAGGACAGCCTTCATACTGTAAGCTGGAGGCACTGGTGTTTGTTCATCTTCCAGGGTCCAGATGTTGTAGATATGTCTGTTTGTCGAGAGGGAGGCCTAGCTAGCTTGAACTGAGCTCCATGTAACCCATATTCATACTGGTGCTAATTTAAACTTAGCTCAGGAACGTCTCTGCTGCTGCACTGCAGTTGTAAAGCCCACCCTGAGAAATATCGCTAATGCAATAATACTTGTAGGCTAGGTAAACCAAGGAAAGATTTGTTTGGTTTTTGTCATTGCTCTTTGGGATTTGGTTTTTAACTGGCGAGGAAGGAGAACAGGTGTAATGAAAATCATGTAGTGTGTGGTCTAGTGAGCTTTCAGGGAAGTGTTTGAATGAGCACTTAGAGACAAGAAGAGATGCTTGCTAAAACAGCCACTTGTGTGGAACAAGAGGAATGGAGTGAACAGTCAATTAACCTGCTAATTTG